GTCCTGTAAAAACGACACATAGTAATTTAGAGTGTGTGTCAGACTTTGTGTGACTTCCTCCCTTTAGAGGGAGTCAGACTGGTGGGACCAGTCTAACTGTTTCTTTTTTTTTTTTCCCTATAGGGAAATTCTCTGTGTTTGATGGGGGAAACCGGAGTGCTCAGACAAAACCCACCCAGACACAGAGAACATGTAAACTTCACACAGAAAGGCCCAGGCAGCAGGATCGAACCCAGAATCTCGTAGCTGTGAGGCATGAGTGCTAGCCACTCAGCCACTCATTTCTCATGGTGTGAGAGACATGTGCTGTAAATCTGTGCTTTAACACATTACACAATCACTGGCACCAAAAAGTTTCCTTTCATTATTTCTCTCTGATACATTTGAAAGGAATCACACCTCTGGGGCTGAATAATGGAACAGCTTTATGAAGAGACTGAGATATCATTACTTCACTTGAGACTTGTGAAGTAATGAGTAATATGGTGTTATGTATTACAAATCTGAATCTGTCAGCAGGCCAAATCTGACACAGTTTGTAACAATAAAACAGATAAACAACAACAGAGTGTGTTCTCCTCTTTGCCACTGGGTTTATCTTCTGTCAGGTGAATAAAGATTTGGCTAACACCTTTAAAGGTTCAAAATCAGAGCTGTTTCTTAAATATATTAACAGAACAAAGGCAGCCCTGTTTAACTCTCTATTCAAGCTTAAAACTCTATTTATACAAATCTGTTAGTTGTGCACTGAGGAAGAGACACTGAGCTGTCTACTTTAGGCGTGTGTGACACATATGTGACTCAAAGTGTGTTGTCCAGTGTTTACATACTGGTTTATGGGATGTGACTTTTTACTTTTTTTTTTTTTTTTTACTAATTTCAAACTAAACTGTCAGATTTAGATTTGTTGACCTGATTATTGTTTATGATTCATATCTCTGCTATTACTGGGCCTATCCACATGAAACAAAAACAAGCATAAAGTTCAAAACAATAAAAGATAACATGGTGATTTAAAAAAAACAACTTATTTTTGGGACTATAAGGTGCACTGGATCATAAAGCGCAATATCAATAATGTTGAATTCTCTCGTCTATTTTCATACATATGTTGCACCAGATTTAAAAAACACATTAAATGAAACAAACAAAACGACACTTGAGACAGTTCCCTTAGTCCAGGCGTCCATGATCCATTGGCAGATCGTGGTGTAAATCGCCTGGCATTGCCTCTCTGTCTTGATGAATGTGGATTATGAATGTGAAAGTGGCTGGATCATTTAAGGTTTTTTTTTTTTTATTTCTTATGAGGACGTCTCAAATATACATGTGTTTAATGCAGCTTTGTGCACATTTGTTTATGTTTTACAGAAACTAAACTTAAAAACACATGGCTCATTTGCATGAACTATAAGCACTATAAAAACAGCTCTCTCCTTGTGCTGCTGCTGCTGTTCAGCTTCTGTCGGACTAAAGACACGATTCAGTGGAATATGTGTGTTCTCTCTGTGACAGAGGATGTGCTGCTAATGGTGAGTGTTCTGTGCATGTATCGTGTTGGAGATGGTTCATGTGAAACTTTTCAGAGATTATATGTCTGCAGGTCATACGCATAAACCATACCTGTAGCATTTCACTGATGTCATAAATGTCGACTCAGAACTATACTTCACGCTTTAATCCATAAGGTTACTGACTACGGTAGCTGTAATGTAATCCAACAATTCATCATTCAGCTTCGTAGTTTACCAAAGTCATACAAAAACATTTTGACAGATTTTGAGCACCATGTACCACATACAATGGGTTCGAGGTCAGTAAGCATAACCAGAATCAGTACATAAAGTGCACCAGATTATAAAGCACACTGTTGATTTTTGAGAAAATTAACGGATTTTAAGTGTGTCTTGTAGTCTGAAAAATACGGTATGTTATTTGGTAGGAGTTAATACCCCATAGTAAATTACACCCTCTTTAAAGCCTCTTAATTAATATGTCTTGTGAAGCCATTTTTTGGAGTTTGTAGAATAAAGAATAAATAAAAAATAAAAGTTGTCTTAAATCAAAGAGTCTGATAGGGCACATGGATGATGTCGAGCCACATAGCAATAGGTAAAAGACATAACACACCATCTTACAAGGACAGGTCAACACAATGCTGGGTCATGGGCAATAAAACATGTGAAAAACAAGTGATCCCAGACAGACACAAATATTTGGGCATGAGACCAGGAGTGAGAGGCCCGTATGAGACCTCTAGCTAAGGACAAAGTACAAGTCTGATTAACAATGATTAGTCAACTTACTCATTTATATAAAGTGATTAAAGATGATTATGTAAAGATTCCCATAACAATTCCCCCATTCATAATAATAAAGTCACATTTTATTCTTAATCAACTAAACCAATAGACTTTACATAAACATAGTTGGAAATAGACGTGGCTGTTTTTGTGGGTGATAGGACCCAAGGACAGGAAACAAAGTAACCAACCATATCAATCGAAAGGATACATAGGCTAAAAATGAAAGTAAATGATTAAACACTTGTTATAAGAGCGTACCATCCAGTTTATCTGCATTTATCTTCATCTGCAGTGACAGGTAACGCCCCGTAATCTCTTCAGTCATAAAAGTTCCAAATTCTTACGCATCTGTCCTTTGTAACCACGCTGCTCGGCTGCACTCGCAGTACCAGGACCTTTACGCACACTCGCGCTTTGCTCAAGGCGCAATGATACGGCCAAGCAGAGAAACTACGAAAAACTAGATTGTGTGACAATTTGGACATTTTTGTGAATGGAGAGGAGCAGTAGACATTCATTACCTGTCGACAAAGACTAGGGCGCACAAGAATGCGCTGTGAAGCTCAGTGTGTTAAAAGAGTGAAGCTGTGCTGAATGAAGTGGTGATGACGAGCCCATTATTATATAGCACGGTGATAAGAGCCACATCTTGTAAGACTGTCGCACGGGCCGCGTAAGAGGCTTGTACTTGCCTCACAAACGACTAGAGTGCGTTGCAAGTGGCCCATATGAGATTTTGACTTGTATGTGACCCTTGTGTGGCACTTAAGTACGGCGTACTATTGCCTCACGACAGTCTTAAGACCCGCGCGACACTCGCATGCCCCAAATTTCTCCCAGGGGGAGCAAGCCACACTTGCACCACATTTACGAAACACGTAGAAAACTGTCTCTCCTCTTCAGAACCCCACGGGCCTTCACGGGCCAAGAAATGTCAGCACCTGTACAGGTGAATCGCCCTTGCGGGTTATTGTGACTTAACCCCCAATTCACACGGCTGTTATCCGAGACATACCCAGTTCCACTAAGAGCTCTGGGGACAATGCGATGCCTGTATCTCGAAACTACAGAGAAGGCTGCAGGTAGTTTCATGGCCTGTTGAATCAATCACCAACGACTCAAAAAAAAAAGAAAAAGAAAAAAACATGGACAAATCTCACCCTGCTGCAGTCAAATGTTTGAATATTGCTCAGTTTCAAACTGGTTTTTTTTTTTTTCTTCGGTGATCTATCTGAGTAAGAGGAGAAGGCCCTGCCCTGAGTGGACTGTACGCTTCAGAACACTCCAACAAGCACCGCAAAAAAGGAAAAAATGTCCTATTCAAATGACTTGAATTCAACATCTAACTTTTCTGGGTGATGGTCTGACATCTCCTGGTCTGTATAGAGAAGCCATTGCTTTTTCTGGAATGTTCAATAATATGGCATGACGTGTATCTATCTCCATGGTAAAAAGCAGGTGATATCAACAATAAGTATGCAAGATATTATGTTTATCGTCATATTGCGGAACATTTCAGGCAAAGCAAGAAAACAAAATAAGTTACACAATGCACCAGCTAAATGAGTTGATTTTCCACATACATTCTTGAGTGTTGACTGAAAAAGATGTCGAATATATGTGATTCAAATGAGTTTCCTGCTCAGGGTGACCGGCTGGGAGCTTCCTAGTTCAGTTACCTGGGACGAACTTGGAGTAGAGCTGCTGCTCCTCTATGTCAAAGGACTCAGGACATGTTAGACATCTCTGCTTAGACTGCACTCCCCATAGACTGGACATAGAGACATAGAGTGGACATAATTAAGCCACTAGCCACCGGATTCTAAACAGAAAGTGAACACGGGCATTTAGCTCATTCGGCTCTGGCTCCAGTTCATTTTCTGTTGAAAAACTGTGGCCCCTCTCTCTGCAACTGCTGCTGTCAGGCTCATTATTTTGACCTTAAACTGTTCACATCAAACACGTTTGATCAACAACTATTGTGCCTTGTTACTAAGTGCCCACCCCCTGCCAGAACCAGCAGTGTGGGCAAAACATCAACAACTTCGCTTCTGATTGGATTTCCAAATACGGAACTCAAAATTAGCCTCTAAAACTGTTAGCCTTGGCTGGAGCCGAAGAATATGGCGTCCCTCAGTCCACTTCTATATACAGTCTATGCCCTTTGACCTGGTCTCAGAAACCACTGAAATACAAAAACATTCAAGTCATTTGGATAGTTGTAGAAGTTCCTTTTTTGCTGTACTTTATTGTGTAAAAAAATGACAGAACTTCCCATCGCTGTACTGCGTCATTGAAGTCTGTCCCTGTGTCTGACCCGCCCTCAGCATGGACAACGGAGACACTGCAGACAGGAGCTCCAGGACATTGGCAGTGAGTGTGTGCGTGTGTGCGTGTGTGCGTGTGTGCGTGTGTGTGTGGGCGGTTGGACATGACAGGAAGACGTCCAGGAGGGCATCAGGGCTAGAACAAGACAGGTCTGTATCCAGTGCATGTCAAAGGGAGGAGGATCAGGGTGGACGTAATGTGAGAGGTGGATCTACAGGAGTCTCTTGTATTTTTTGAGTAGTTCTGACTAGATTTCCTACTTACTATTTTTTAAAATACTGCCAGTACCCATATTAAAGGCCCTTTACCTAATTTTTCCCATGTATTTGAGGAAAAGGTAAAAGGTACCTAGCCCCAGAGCAGATT